CCAAACTACTGAACAGATTCCAACGAAATTTTGAATATAAATTCCTAACCACCAAACGGTGATTTTTAGCTCGTGAAAATTTATTAGAGTCGGAGTTCTGCATGTGTTGTTTTGTACACAACACATGCACACATATGTACACAACACATGTTCTGCATGTGACTTCGATTCAAACTTCTGACTTCGATTCACGGACTGCCGCCCCCCTATTGCCCCTTTTGCCTCACCGCCCCCCCCAGGGGGGCGATATCGCCAACTTTGGGAACCACTGCGCTAAATCGATAAACCGCCGAAATTTTTAGCTGAATTTGCCGCTAACCACTAACTTTAGGTATATAAATTTTGCTTTGGCTTAAATTGGGGGGGGGGTACATAAATAATTAAATGAACAAATGAAATTAAGCTGTAGTTGATCTTCAATATACAGTTTATCAAACGAATAAGAAATATGAAGTAACAAAAGCACACAGGTAGAAGCAGGGTTACACACTGCTTTTACTCTGGCTTGCCCTTCATCTCCTCGAGGTGATTATACAATCGAGTTCATCAAGGGTAGTTACCCTTGATGAACATCAGCCTCTCAATAATGTAAATAATTAACTATTATTTGCATTATTATTATTACTCAATTGACCCTCAAGATGTCCTTGCCTATGGAAAGCAGGCGCACAACTGCAGCATTGGATGAGATGGCTGCGTTGTACATAACGAACAGGTCCATCAACACCTGCTCACTCAAGAATGCAACGTCAGTCAAGACCTCTTTCGAGCTGGCCTCCAGCCATGTCTTCACTAAGTTCTGTGTCTTGGACTTCAGTGACCTGCGACTCATGCGGTGATGCTGCTGAAGAAGTCATCTTCTCCATCCTTGTCATTGCTGGTGATGCTGCTGCCCTCCAAGGGTCTCCCTCAGGTTTAATTGAACTGAGTTCAAACATATTAAGAAGTATTTCAACTATTGCAACAAACAATAAAGTTGAAATTCATTCCGAAATTTCCACCAGATTTTTAGAAAAAATAGTTGTTTGATGTGACGCAGTTTTTGCTTTATTATCATCCTCGTACCCACTTGACACTCACTGATGCGAGTAACCATTCCCCTGCATAAATATGGTAGCTTTTCTGACACATGTACCAACATCACATAAAGCCCGTTCTTAATTTCAATGTTCTCGCTTCACAAGGCGCTTACTCTTGCACTATAGTAACTCTCATATAGTAGGGATATATTAAGGATATAGAAACGATATAGAAAGGATACAGTAAGCGCATAGTAAGGATATAGTAAGTATATAGTAAGGATATAATAAAGATGTAGTAAGGATGCAATATTTGTGTGTATGTTTGTGAGAAAAAGTTAAAGAGAAACTTTGATGTGGTTACTGCTGAATGTGAGAGACAAACCTTCCTGCATGGAGCTGTGGAGCAGGCGGGTGTCTCGTGAATATAATAATGTGAGATAAGATTGAAATGTGTCAGATGTGCATTGTGTATATCAAAGATTTATTCATTCATTGTTATTTGTTATATATGATAGAATAATCGTACATTATTGTATTTTTTTCAAAATTTGCGAGTTAATGTTGGTTTTCTCGTTATTCGTTGTTTGAAATTCGATGGAATGCCTCCAAAGCTTGAGAATCAATGAAATAAATAACTACATATATCTCATAAATGAAAGTATTTCAAAGTTGAATCATTGTTCGCTCCCTGAAGGCTGTTGTTTAAATGGAGGTATACGAGCTTCCATGTATGTCACTTCAGAGGGCATTCTTGGACTTAACAGTGAGTTTTTAAACTTAACCATCGGTGCAACGGTGAGCTCGTTCTGAATTGCTACTCGAGCTCACGCAGTACTCGCTTATAGTAAGTTCTCGTTACCCACTCACTCACTCACCTGGTTCTCACTCTCATATGATAAGGACTGTTGAATGGTGTTCGCAGTTGCATTGTACTGGCGGTCACATGGTGTTTGTTCATGGTAGTAGCTCCTAAACTACTATTGTATATCGTTAAAACTTCATAGTATTCTTAATAGCATTGAAATATTTGGTTACAGTTCCACTGACAGCATACTCGCTCTCCTCGATGTCGATCTTGAGGTAGTGCACCTGGGCGCCGACGTGACCGTTGGCCGCGAGGGCGTCTTTGTACGTCACCAACGTCCGGCCGTCGTCGTCGACGTGGCTGACGTTGGCGATGCCCCACGGCCGGTGGACGTGACGAGGCCCGAAGAAATCCTGTGGGAGAAATCTTTACACTTATTCTAAAGACCGATAATCTCATATTACTAAATTGGTTATGTAATACCATGAGAAGAATGTAATAATTTAAATATTCTAATAAACTAAAAATAATGAAGGCAAAACGATTAGAAATTTCATTCTAAATGATCGAGACCAAAACGTTCCGAACTGTTTAATTGTTGCTTGAATCAGAAATTGGTAGGCCTAACTAATCTGAAGAAAAGAAGCTGCAGATTAGGAAACCTATGCAAACTTCCGTCTGCTAGCATAGTTCATGAACGAATTTCAACTAGATTTAAATTTAAACCATATTTTTTCTATTTCATTGCCTGGGTATGGTTGACAGTGTGATCGTGCAGGAAGACCTGACAGCCCCAGAGGTCGGACATGATCTTCTCAAATGTGATGTCGTTGCCGACACCAAACGAGTAAATCAGGCACGAGTTGTAGGCGGGTGTGTACCACGGGTCCAAACATACCTGGAGAACATGTAATTAATAATTCCTAAGTTTAAGTATAGTAATTCCTACAGTATTTTACCTGCGAAACGCTTAGACAAACATTAAACGACTGCCTGTGTATAGAGCTTGATACATTTCTCCAAACACCAGCTATAATACTAGTAATCATTACTACGTTTCTGTATATTTACTAGTACTAAAATTGTTTGCTTGAGAGAAGATTTGGTAAACAAAACTGCACGTGGTTGAAATGAACAATGCGGGCAAACAATGCTTACCCGGTGCTATTAGTGACGCCAACATTCAAGAGCTGAAAATTCGGAAAAATGTGTAACTACTAAAGGATAGACCAACAGTAAAATGTGCAAATTTCAAAGGTTAGACCGCGGGTCCAAACCATGCTGATGTTCACGAATGGTTACGCTTTAGTTTAATACTCATTATTCGTATAAATGCATGTTTTCTTACAAAATTTGAAATCCCTGATGCCAAATTGCAGCTGAAATCTTCGTGTAATCGCGGAATGGCTGTGTCAACAACGATCAAACCAAATTCGTATCTGAACAAGAATATAATTCCCGGTATTAGAACAGCGTTATCTGTAATTAAACATCATAGCCTATATAGGCTTGACCACAGTCAGAGGTAATTTAAATTTTGTGTCAGCAAGCTATATATAATAGGCATCAGAACTCATCCTCGAACTTCTTTACTGGTATCCAGATTTCAGTATTGGATCATGTAAACCTATCCTTTACGTTACTTCGAATCAGCATACATTTTCTACAGTAGCAGGTCGAGGCCTTGATAAAAACAAAGCAGATGAGGTTCCTCACATCTTTGTCTCCATCAAAGGCTCTACACATCCAGGTCCCTCCGATATCCGCCAGTTTATCGCAGTGCCCCGTCGGGATCTCCAGAAGTTCATTCAAGTCCCAGACGTTGGTCAGCGCAGGCAGGGAAGTCGAGTGAGAACTGCCAGGTCGTCTTCTAAATGGTAGTGGATCCGTCAGTCTGAAAATACGAATATAAATGAATCTTCAATAAGTTTTTTACTCATAGAGTGGTAATAGATAAACCCTTACATGAAAATGGTAGGTCTTTATCCAACCAGAGTCTCGCAGCGAAATTCAATCGGGCGATGTAATTCATAGGAACTTACAATGTGCTTTCACGCATAAATCCATGCAAATAAATAAAAAGGGGTAAAATATTGTTCATAGTTGAATTATTCAACTTTTGATAATCATAGTCTCATTTCCTAATCATTCTAGCCAAAATTCATCATTTTATACTTGTATTGTTCAGAAACAGTGAGCTCATAAGCTACGTATGTCATGCTTTAATAAAATAATATTCAAAGTTAAAATATTGACTAACCAGCAAGATAGCCGACGTTAATCCCATTAAGGGGGAGGTATACCCTAAAATTTTCAAATTTGGCATTTCTGGGTTTTAATCTCATCTTAAAGCTGAAATTCTGCTCTTTCCAATGGTACCACTGCCATCGCTGTACTCCAATATTTACGTTCGTGACGTCTCTTTAAAGGGAAGCGGGTGAGAGAGTTCTTTAAGTAATTAGATATAAAGTAATTTTTTTTTAGATTTGGGCATAGTTTGGATTCAAAATGGGGGGGAAATGAGAAAAAAATGAAAAAAAATGGAAAAATGCTTGTAAAAAAACTAAAGCGAAAATCAAAAATCGGGCCGTGTTACTGCATTGGTATGGTCTTTACGAATAGAATGGTATATGTCTCATCGCTGTAGCTTCTAAACCCTAGGAGGAGATAGATTTCTACAGTACCCCCTTTTTTGTCCGTTTTCTATGGATTTCACGTTTTCTATCAATTTTTTCGAAAAAATTACACGAACAAAAATGTCCTAGAATTCTGTTTTGCATAAGTGTACCAAGTTTCAGAGTGATCCGTCCATAAACAAAAAAGTTATTCTGGAGGGTATACCTCCCCCTTAAAACAAATAAAATTAATGCTTGCTAATTAAAGCAAGACCAGTTCAAAGTTACAATTCACATTTTGCAATGAATTCCCGCTCAACTCCTGTTTATAATACGAAAAAAAATATTTTTGACTATTCAAATTAAGTTAGCAAATTTTAATTTTTGTTTAAATCTTTGCTTCGTTCAAATCTTTGCTCGAAATAAAAATTTCGAGCTGATGTGTATCGTGCATGCGCATCCTGACATCTATATATGCAGTGACATGACTCAAACAAATACTCACACAAATAAAATATAACAAATAATTATATTTCTATAAGAGCTTACTTCTAATTACTATGAAATGTAAAACCGAGTGGTTGTCTGAGAGGTGTAGAATTCTTGACAACCTCGGAAAGACCCAAACCTTTGGGAATTACCGGAACGATAAATTGTTTAATCTAGGTACAGAACAGATCACCAGAAGCCATATCAATTTAAAATAAAGAATCCTGAGTGCCAAAAGACAGCACCTCTAGGGTCTTGTTATCGATCGGTGAAATGTACGGCCAGCGAGGTACCAACAAGGTATACTCTCAATAGATGCATGGCTATACTGTATGTTACATATGGCTATACAGTATGTATGGCTATACTGTATACTGTATGACACGGTTATACTGAATGCTACAGAGTATAAAAGTTAATTTTGCCTTGTCGAATCCATTTAACTTAGCACAAACCTTGTTACGCTGGATATATAGTTCAGATGACTCCCACTCCCTCCAGAAATTGTGGATCTCCATGTGTAGTTGCCACACGTTCTCCAGTAAGCCCGAGGCAAATATGTTAGGTAAAACCTATGGATGACATACAAACAATTCGACATAAGAACGCTGATGAATTTCCTTGATGTACTATAGGTGCATTGTGTATTTTTTGGCCTTCTAGCCAGACCAGCTTTGGATGCGAACTCATGAATGACAAGGTTGAATAATCATTACGTTATATCTAGTGAGTATATATTCCATCACAAAAAGTAGTGCAGCAACTTGTGGCAGCTATTGAATTCGGCACGTAATGATTTAAGCGTAAGTTTGGTTTTTGTGAATTTTATTACATAAATTTAAATTTTCACGATATAAAATATTCACTGTTTACTTCTTACAAGTTGCACTAACATGATATTCTTGTTCCTCGATGTCGATCTTGAGGTAGTGCACCTGGGCGCCGACGTGACCGTTGGCAGCGAGGGCGTCTTTGTACGTCACTAACGTCCGGCCGTCGTCGTCGACGTGGCTGACGTTGGCGATGCCCCACGGCCGGTGGACGTGGCGAGATCCGAAGAAATCCTGTGGCCGAAATCTTGCAATTCATTTCCATATCTCAAATCTATTCATCGATCTGCTTCTATTGTTTCACTGAGAACCGTATGCAAACTATCATTTCAAAATACATTTTCTGTGTGAGATGATGGCCATTTTCAAGACCTAAATTTTTAATTATACCCGTTTCGATCCTCACTTCCATTGAATCGTATATGAAAAAAGTTTTTAATATTAGCATTCCTGACGTTGGTATGGTTGACAGTGTGATCGTGCAGGAAGACCTGACAGCCCCAGAGGTCGGACATGATCTTCTCAAATGTGATGTCGTTGCCGACACCAAACGAGTAAATCAGGCACGAGTTGTAGGCGGGTGTGTACCACGGGTCCAAACATACCTGGTGAACTAGTAATTAGTGATGAACAACTTTCAATATGAATATTACTACAATTGTTTGCTTAAGAATAACCTTTGTAAACACCAACGGCCACTCATGGTTGGCATTTACCACGGTTCCAAACACTCCTGTGTACTAGTAATTTGTACCGCCAACGATCAAGTAGGATGATTCAATGAAATGTATATTTAATAAATGATTAGGCCAACATCATCAACTACACATGACGCTTGTGAACCACGGATGCAAAGCACTTGATGTTCTACATAGTAATTAGTAAAAACAAACGCTAAAGTGTGAAAATTTCTACAACTTTTTGCCAGCAAAACGTTTAAGCCAACCTCAAACGACTGCTTGTATGTCAGACTCGAGGGGTCCAATCACATTTACACTCGATAATATAAGAAACTGAAGTCTAGATCACCTGTTATATAAGAGGAGTTGTTCGTGCGGTTTCTTGATGTTTATTACAGGCTAAATTGGTCAGCCCGAGTTAGTAGTTTAATCCAGTTAAATAATAGGGACATTTATGTTTTAACGAGTGTTATATGAGTAATCTAGCGTAGCAGGATACTTCTGCGTAGAAGTTAACTCGGCGTTGCTCACTATTAAAGTATTTCAAGTTGTAACACAATTCACTTTGTAACATGCAGATACCACAACATAAGAAATTTTGTTAACTACAATACCATGTGGACAATACTGATATGTTAATGTAATATCAATTTCTAATAGGTAAGTGTAATAACTTCTTACGTCCTTGTTTCCGTCAAATCCGTCACAGAACCAAGTCCCGCCAATTTCCACTAGTTTGTCGCACTGCCCCGTTGGCGAGTCCAGGAACTCGTGCAGACCATTGATGTGCGTTAGGTTCGCGGGCAGTGACGTCGAAAATGGTCGTCTTTTGAAAGGTAGTGACTCTGTGGTTCTGTTAAGAATAATCTCATTTGTATTTTAAATTCAATAAAACGAGAAGAGTAGTAAAGTTATAACAAAACTCCCGCATGTACGATGATCGGGCCACGACTAAAGTAAGCAGAAACGAAACTTGGTAGAAGGCGATTTCGTGATTCAATTGATCATGAGTAAATTTCCGTTTGAATTGATACATGTTTTGTACATTTTGGAAAGACATGACATTCATTTGCTTATCATTAGGACAGGAAAATTGAGGAAGGTTATGCGTTTTGAATCTGCCATTTATCAAATAAAGATCAGTGGTGAGAGCTCTGTGAACCTGTCAAAATCGTGTTATATTCATCAACGTGTATTTTTTTCAACAAGACTGATTAACTTTTTAGGTCAAAGGGACCGAATCATCCTGATAATTTTTATTTTATTTATCATTAAATCCATGAATGTATATTCTGCTAGCTCTGAAAAAATGTGAATCGGAGTAGAAAGTGTACTTGAGCTTGACTGTTATGCCGACAACGTGCACAGCATACCTATCAGTTTATGAATTCTTAAACCGTACTTAAGGTCTATCGTGTTACATATATGTATCTTACCCGTAATATGGTCAATGCATAAGGAAAGCCAATGAAGCAGCGCACGTGCGGTATGACGGCATAAAATGTAAAGAATGCCTAGGGATTATCAATATTAAAAAAAATTTAGAGATTGTATGGCCTTTTTATTGTGCACCACCAGCACATTACATGTTCGACGAAAAACATTTACAGGGAAACTTTTTGAGTTCAGGTACGTAGTTTTGTGAATAGTTATGCCGACATGACATGTGAATAGAAAATGAAACTAAACGTAGTTTTCGAATTACATCTCTCCCTTTTCTTCATATCATTTTGATTGTAACTGCACCTGCTCTACATGTGTCACACGATAAATGAACAATGGCAGTTTAACGTTTACTGACATCCGGGATAACTTACTATTACTTACAAGGCCATCAATAAATATCATTGATAATTAATATAACAGTCATATGTATATAAGAAAACAATTTATTGTTTAAGATAACGGTTTGACTGCAAACTCAGTAACGAGGCATTCGTTCATTGTGCCAATAAGTTTTATTTTAAAACCCAGAGCTAACATTCAGATGCATAGAAACCGGGTGAATTTACCAAGTATTTGTATAGCTAAAGGTCAACTGTCGAAAAAAATTAGATTGCAACTGGCAAGATGGTTTATAGGCTGCTTTAAGGAATCATGGTTTATCTACTTTATCAGATGCTGTGAGGAAATATGGTTAATAATTAAGATGCTAGAAAGTAACTTGACTTATCAGGTGCTGTGAGAAGAAATGGTTTATTATATGCTGTATGACAGAATAAATGTTTCACGAGAGCACTAATCCGATTCAGCTGTCGAATCCATCACAGTAGTAATGAAAAATAAAGCAGGTCTAAATTATTAAAGTTACCCTATAAGCCACGCAACTGCGACAAAAGCTCTAATAATTACCCTACACTCGGTGAGTAGCTTATCCTGGTATCCAAGATACCAGCAAGTGACATCAAGACGAGCAGCAACCAAAGCAGAGCGATCCATGCTAGCTTGTGCGAGCACCGAAGATGCTTTATAAACCGCCTCCTATAACAAGACAAAAAAATTTTAGTTAATCTTATATATCCAGACATAATTCCACCCAAACTAATGTTCCAGCCTAGTCCCAGGTGATGCAAATTTTAAATTTTACTTCGTTATCGAAAACATTTTTCATCAATATAAATTGACCTTCTCATCTAGTCGAAAAATGAAAAACGCTCCGGGAAAAGCGCTCAGTACAAAAAAAAAGAGTCAATTCTACAATTCCATGCAAGTTTGGAGTTTGATGGAAGCTAGATCTAGGAATATGAAATCAGAATGCATAGACGGATAGATAAAGTGAAAATCAAAGTTTCCCAACGTTACCTCATGGCGCTGTGAAAAATCAAGAAGATGTGATTGACGGCTAATTTTTTTGTTTACACACAAACTCATTCTTCCGCAAACGCAGTCCTGCTCCTCGTGAGCTTGATTGTGCTGTGTCCTGTGATCGTTTCTTGGCTCAACATATTTTTTGTGTCTTAAAATTACCACTGCAAGTTGAAGTCAACTTTCAAAACGCCGGAAAATTAATTAAGCAAATCGGAGAATTCGAGCAAAAGATCGTATTGAACTCGAGAAATTGAGTGTATACAGCTTAAGAAAACACGACCCTGCTGTGAACTCAACACGGAGTGAACTGCTTTGCAAAAGTTTTGAGCTCACTAGAGATTCTAAATACCTCTTGTGTAGTGTTCGCATTGCCTAGAGGTTTTTTCAAATTACTTTCGTCTCATTTACGAGGAAAGCTCGCTAAAATCCAACAGGCCAAGGAGGAAGTTTGACTAAAGAATTTTTTTGGTAACTATTTTCCCGTTTTTGTAGACAGCCAATTCAATTGTCAATAAATACGTATGTATGGCTGCCCGTGTGATCCTATCGTATAAACTCTGTGGTCGCAAATGCCAAGAGTTTTCTTAATGCATATGTACATTTTCGATCGCGCAAAATGCACCCATTTGAAAAAAATTAATCTGTTGAATTGAGATCTTCAAAACGGCAAAGTCTCTTAAAAATTCGGGATGTCAAAACTTACGATTTTACTTAACGTCCAATAATTTTAATTTCAAAAGAAAACTAGTGAACGGGCCAAATTACTAATAGTAATTTAATTTGGCGACATCTGCGGTAGTACAAAAAAAGTATGCTTCTAACTGCAGTTTTGTGTGTGTCCCTAAAAATTAACGGGGATAAAATTTTCGATAGTCTTTTCCTAAAGCATCTCCTTACAATAACTTAGACTCTCGAAAATTTCCCGACGGAAGTTGAAAACAATTATTTTAGATAACAAATAGACATCGAAAGTCAGGGCGGCTACCGAATTAAAAGCGACAGATGATTGATAACACGCATCTATGTAGCCCTATATAGTATCGTCTCGGTTAAGATTTGTGTGTGCTTTCAAACGCACCAGTCTTACGGTGCTAATAAACTAAAAGTTTATTAAAAACATTTTATCTTTTAAAGCAATAAATCTGGAATATTTGGCAACAATAGCATTGTTTTGTTACTCACTTCGAAACATATCTCCACGCTCTTGTGAAATATTTTTTAATGTTCGAATGTCCATCCGAAAGAAACACAAAATTAATAGGAATTCGTTGGTATTCGACTCATATTTAAATGCAAATGTAGTACCTACCGTAAATGCCACATAAGTCCAGTGGTGGGCACAGCTAACCTAAATATTAGCTTCGATAGCCATTAATCCGCTAACTTAAAAGTTAGCTTTTATAACGCTAAATCAGTGGTTCTCAAACTTTTTCAGCCTGGCGCCCCCTTTGGCTCCCTAGTGAATCNGGTGAGATGGCTGTGATTATGCTTCTCCAGCCAGAACAGGCGAAACTTAAGGTGGAAGACAGCTGCCAGGTGACACTCCTTGTCTTCTAGGAGGTGCCCAAACTTTTTCATGATGCCTGCCAGCATTGAGTCTACAAGAGGTCTGCAGTACAGAAGGCCTTTGGACTTGGCCTCCAGAAACTTCTTGATGGTAGTCGCTACAGTTGGCAGATATTTCAGAATCAGAAGAAGAGCACTGCCAGTTAGCGGAACTAAATTTAGCGGAAGCTAATTGGTCAGCTGATGGTTTTCAAAGTTAGCTGAATGGCTAATCCGATAAGGAAAAAGTTAGAGTCGCTAATTAGCGGTTGGCGGATTAGCGGAACTGTGCCCACCATTGCAGAAGTCGCTTCTCAGCAGCGACTCAGCAAACTGCACATACGCTTTGTAGGGTTCAATAACCTGATGATGGTTAGAAAGCAGCTTTTATCTCTCCAGAAATTCAGTTTTGTGTTATAAAATAGATCGTTTCTATTAAAGGCCGGCAACTTTAGTGCTGCCGGCGAGGTTATCGGCATTGACGGTAGTCATGCGTATATGTTATTCAGCTACATTACAGTTTAAATGAAACATATTTTCGTCGATTGATTAAAGTAAGTGATTTCTCATATTCAGTGGGTTCACATTAAAAAGAGAACAGATACTCAAATTTTATATTATGTACGTCAATATGTAGCAAATAATCATTATCACATTTTTTTCGCGCTCCGTTACTTATAATTTCAGTGACTATATAAAAGCATTGTCACGCCGGCGCTCGTTGACCCAGAGAACATCCATGCAGCACCAAGTGTCGTACGTCTGGAGTTGATTAAATCGTAGGAAGTTGTTACCAGTGCCGCGCACTCTTCTGAACCCCGAGTCTTCTAAACTACGGATGATGTCGTATGCGTGCTGAAGTCGTAAGTAAGGAATAAAAAAAGTGCTAAGCTTTGGCCAAGAAAGCCAACGGTTATGACTAATTAATGGCAATGGTATGTTGTCAATTAATGAATTATTTGGCAACGAATGTTTTCAACAAAGAATACTCATGTTGTTGGCTCACCCTGGTCCGCTCCAGGTAATGTTCGTCAGTTTCATAGTCTTGCCAGAAGATGTGAATCTCGAGATGGATTTGCCACACGTTCTTCAGCAGTCCCGAGCTTATAGTGTCTGGTAAAACCTATTTAAAGGAAAAATTAGATTATTGGCAAAATGAAATAAAATTATAGTCAATGAAATAGTCAATTATAATTACTATAACTGAATGTAAAGTGGCAAAAATTGTAAAGTGTCAGTGATAAATAATCTGTTGACCCAGATTTTAATTGAACTGAGTTCAAACATATTAAGAAGTATTTCAACTATTGCAACAAACAATAAAGTTGAAATTCATTCCGAAATTTCCACCAGATTTTTAGAAAAAATAGTTGTTTGATGTGACGCAGTTTTTGCTTTATTATCATCCTCGTACCCACTTGACACTCACTGATGCGAGTAACCATTCCCCTGCATAAATATGGTAGCTTTTCTGACACATGTACCAACATCACATAAAGCCCGTTCTTAATTTCAATGTTCTCGCTTCACAAGGCGCTTACTCTTGCACTATAGTAACTCTCATATAGTAGGGATATATTAAGGATATAGAAACGATATAGAAAGGATACAGTAAGCGCATAGTAAGGATATAGTAAGTATATAGTAAGGATATAATAAAGATGTAGTAAGGATGCAATATTTGTGTGTATGTTTGTGAGAAAAAGTTAAAGAGAAACTTTGATGTGGTTACTGCTGAATGTGAGAGACAAACCTTCCTGCATGGAGCTGTGGAGCAGGCGGGTGTCTCGTGAATATAATAATGTGAGATAAGATTGAAATGTGTCAGATGTGCATTGTGTATATCAAAGATTTATTCATTCATTGTTATTTGTTATATATGATAGAATAAT